CCATTATAAAAAAAAAAAGAAAAGGAAAATCAACTTTGAAATCTAAAGGAGTTCAAGTTGAATAAATAATAAATAAATAACTTACTTGAGTGAATAAAGAGATTTTTTCAACATATTTATAACATCTGAAAAAATGTAAGCCAATTTCTTTAACTTATATGATTAATCTTGTCTTTGTTATTTTTTCTTGAAAGAAAATGTGAGACAACAAAGTTATTAAAACCTTTGAATTTATTGTTGATTTCATAAATGGTATATGTGGGGATATATTTTCTGAGTACAAACACGTGGCAAGGTGACGCCGACGTGTCATCCGAGGTGCCACGTGTTCTGGTCGTGACGCCGAGGTGATCTCGGTAAGGCCGAGGTTGCCTCCGAAGATATCGGAATCCGAGATAAGTGGATAAGGGACAAGTCGAAAAATCACCCACACAGTATAATTGTAATTTATGTAATTTTTAAACCACCAAAACTATTGCATATTTGGAAAAATTACTCAAAAAATATATTTATGAACCACAATAATTTCCTGTGTGACTTATATTTAAACAATTTTAAATTTATACCATACACATAATTTTCGTGGCAAATTTTAAGACAAATTTATATTTGTCAAATTGGAAGCCATTGCTCTTGTTCTTAAAAACACCTTCAAAGCAAATTGCTAAAAAATACAAAGAGAGTCAATAGAAAAAAACAAAAAACAAAATTGTTGGTATAATTGTAATTTTCAAACCACCAAAACTATTGCTTTTTTAGAAAAATTACTCAAAAAAATATGTTTATGAACCTTAATAATTTCTGGTGTGATTTATATTTGAGCAAATTTAAATTTATATCATACACATAACTCTCAGGACAAATTTTGAGACAAATATGTATTAGTCAAATTGGAAGCCATTGCTCTTGTTCTTAAAGACAGCTCCAAAGCCATTTCATAAATGGGTGTATTTTTTTTTCTCTCTCTTCGTAGGAGTTTTCTCTCTTGCCATGTGCAAGACGTTTCTTTTCTCTTCTCTGGTAGAAGTTAGGGTGTTTGTCTTCTTTTCTTTTACCATGGAGCCTTCTATTGATGAGCTTACTACTAAGCTTATCCTTACGGAGGACGAGGAGGCTGCTGTGGTTGTGGAAGAGGTTCATACTCGCCCTATTGTGGATCGTTCTTGGTTATGTTTGGTGGGCCGGTTGCTTACTCACCGACCATTCAATACTGAGGCGTTGCGCACTATGTTAGTGAGTGTGTGGAAGCCCTTTAAAGGAATGCAGTTCAAAGTTATGGGGGACAATTTGTTCCTCTTCCAATTTAATCATATTGTCGACAAGAAGAGAGTTCTTTTCCGCGGTCCATGGAGTTTTGATAAGCAGTTACTTCTTCTTGAGGAATTTGAGGGCTCTTTGCGGCCTTCTGACATCAAGTTTACTAGGGCCCTTTTCTGGGTCCATGTTATCAATTTATCCCTCTTTAGCATGACTCGGGTAGTTGGGGTCCTCATTGGAAACCGTCTTGGGCGTTTTGTTGATATGGAACTTTCGGAGGAAGGAGTGGCTTGGGGTAAATACCTTCGTATTCGTGTATCAATTGATATTGCCAAACCATTGAGACGTGGTATGCATATTGCGTTAGGCTCTTCCCTGCCTATCTGGGTGTCGTTTCATTATGAACGATTACCCAATTTCTGTTTTGCTTATGGTATTCTTGGCCATGGGACACGTGATTGTACCACACGATTGTTGGGTTCTGTGGTGGATAATACTACTCGGTTTCAGTATGGCCCTTGGCTGCGGGCAGACACGGAGTTAGGCAAGAACAAGGGGCCTTTACGCCCTTCTGAACCTGTCGAGGAAGAACCTGTGGGACTTGACTCTCCAATGGTTTCTGTGCTTGGAGGTGGAAGTGCTCTACAACCATGCCAATCCGAACTGTTGGTGTTAATCCCTAGTGGTTCGCCGGTTGGCCAAGGAATGGACCATACTCCCACTCTGTAGATGGTTACCCCATTTCGCGCTCCCCTCCCTCCGAATAAGGATGCGGTTGTCGTTGGTGGGGATCCTCTTGGCGAAAAAGATGGGTTGGCTCCTGCTCGCTCAATTTCAAATTCAAATTTGACTTTGTCAGTTATTCCTAATAAGGGACTAGCATTTGAGGCCCAGAATATGGAGTTTGTTAGCGGCCCTTTAGTGGATGTCAAAGTTACAGAGTTGGATGTGCCTTTTTCAAGGCCAACTAGTTCTTTGTCCACTTCCTTTTCTTTGGGCCTGCCTAATCTCGTCCAGTTAGAAAAAGGCAAGGGTTTGGTCTATCCGAAACTAAAGAAAGGCAGGAAACCACGGGCGCGCGCCGCCCCTGTTTTTCTCTTGCCTACTTTGTTAACTGATGGGTGCAAACGGAAGATACATATGGACCTTATAGAGGGTGTCTCTCAAGGGGCAAAACGTTTCTGCCATGATTCTCTGGCACCATGTCCGGTCCCCACAGAATTTGTCATGGCGGATGGTGCGGGGCAGCACCGCCAATCATTATGAATTGCTTAAGTTGGAACTGTCGTGGGCTTGGGAACCCACGGACAGTTCGCGACCTTCAATGCATGTTGAAATCTAAAGATCCCACTCTAGTTTTCCTCATGGAGACTAAAAGTATTGGACGTAAGATTGAAAGCTTACATTGTAGGATTGGATTTTCTTGTGCTTTTACGGTGGACCAAGTAGGCTTTGCGAGAGGTTTAGCTCTTCTTTGGCGGAGTGATATTCAAGTCTCGATTAAAAGATATTCTACTGGACATATTGATGCTATTGTAGACTCTGGTTTGGGTTCAACACCGTGGCGGTTTACGGGATTTTATGGTCATCCAGTGGTGTCTCACCGACGGGATTCGTGGGAATTATTGTGAAGACTATCGAGCTTGTCTAGTCTGTCGTGGCTTGTTATTGGTGATTTCAATGAAATTCTATTCTTGCATGAAAATGTTGGCATGGGTGAACGTAGTGGTGTCCAGATGAGTGCTTTTCAACATGTTCTCGAAGATTGTTCTCTAGCGGATCTTGGCTATCGCAGATCCAAATTCACATGGGCCAATAACCGCTAGCAAGGACTCATTTGGGAGAGGTTGGATCGTGGTGTGGCTATCTTGGTGTGGTTGCAATTATTTCCCTTGGCAACGGTACATAATCTGGTATGCACGACCTCAGATCATAACCCTTTATTGCTCGATTTAGTAGGCTCAAAAAATATCTCAGTGAATCATTGTGGAGGGCATCGGCCTTATCGTTTTGAGGCAATGTGGTTACGGGATGATGAGTGCGAATATATTGTCCTTCAAAATTGGTTACGGCAACAGACACCTACAATGGAAGGTATTCGATCAAATCTTGACGTCATTGGAGCCCGTTTATCAACATGGGGCTGTCGGAAATTTGGTGCCTTTTAGAATACCATTCGTGACAAGATCAAGGAGCTTCAATGACTAGAGAGCCTGACCTCCATGTCAGAATCGGAACGGGATTGTTTTTCTGCTCTTTGTCGACATGTTGACGAACTCCTACGTAGAGAGGAAATATTTTGGTATCAGCGCTTTCGTGCCAATTGGTTAAAAGATGGTGATCGCAACACTTCTTTTTTTCATGCCAAAGCAAACTAGCGGCATAAAAAGAAATTGATTCTGGGTTTGAAAAATGAGCAATCACTATGGTGTACTAATTTACGTCGAATGGAGGATATTGCTGTGCACTATTTCGAAAGCCTCTTCACTTCGGAAACCCCTCAGGGTATTTAGGATGTTCTTGACACTACTACTTCGCGGGTGTCCGACGATTTAAATAGAATGTTGGGTGGTGAATTCACTTCTGCAGAGGTGGACAAGGCTTTAGCTCAAATGCACCCCACAAAGGCACCGGCTTGGATGGAAAACATGCATTGTTCTATCAACGTTTTTGGCTAAACATTGGGTCACAGGTAACTGCGGCTGTTTTGGGAATTCTTAAACGACAAGAGCCTATGAACATTATTAATGACACATTTATCGTGTTAATTCCGAAGGTTCCGAATCTGAAAAGAATGTCTGACTTTCGTTCAATCAGTTTGTGCAATGTTGTCTACAAGCTGATTAGTAAGGTTCTGGTGAATCGGCTCAAGCTTGTGTTGCCCTTTGTGATCTCCATCAATCAAAGCGGCTTTGTATCTGGGCGTCTTATTGCCGATAATGTTTTGTCAGTATTTGAAGTATTTCATTACATGAAAAATTAGAAGCATGGCCGTACGGCACTTTGCATTAAAATTGGACATGAACAAAGCCTATGACCGTATGAAATGGGAATTTCTTCGCCAAATTATGTTAAAGATGGGAATGGATGGCCGGTTTGTCCAAGCTATTATGCGGTGTGTTTCGACTGTCTCATACTTGATCCTTCTGAATGGTAAACCCACAAGATCTTTTCGCCCTTTCCATGGCCTACGACAAGGTTGTCCTTTATCCCCTTATCTATTTGTCCTCTGTGCGAAAGGTCTTTCTTCGTTGATTTGGCAGGCAAAGCTTGATAATAGACTTACTAGGATAGGCATATGCCGTGGCAGTCCGAAGATTTCACATCTCCTATTTACGGATGACAGCCTCTTATTTGATAATGCGACTGTCGCAGAAGTGTTGATAGTTGTGCGCATTCTCAAAACATATGAATTAGCTTCAGGTCAGAAGGTTAATTTTAGCAAGACATCTATTAGTTTCAGTACTAATGTGGGGGCGGAATTAAGAGAGGAACTTCGTCAGCTTTTGCATGTTGGCACTACGATGGTGAACGACAAATATTTGGGTCTTCCGTATTTTGTTGGGCGCACCAAGCGTGAGGTGTTTCAATTTATCAAAGACCGTTTGTGGATGCGGCTCAACGAATGGAAAGAAAAGTTTATATCTGCAGCAGGTCGTCATGTTTTGATCCAGGCAGTTGCTCAGGCCATTCCAACCTATGTTATGTCATGTTTTTGAATCCCGGAAACTTTATGTGCTGAGATGGATTCCATGGTGAGTCGCTATTGGTGGGGGCATTCTAACAATACCAGGAAAATACATTGGAAGAGCTGGGAGGCTTTGTGTACTCCAAAGTGGGTTGGTGGGTTGGGTTTTCGAAAGTTGGCGGCTTTTAACAAAGCCATGCTTGCGAAGCAAGGCTGGCGCTTGCTGAAGTTTCCTAATTCGTTATTGGCCAGTCTTCTACGTGCTAAGTATTACCTTCATGCAGACTTTTTGTCGTCTTCGATTGGGTCTAATCCGTCTTTCACTTGGTGCAGCATTTTTGATGCTAAACCATTGCTTTAGGCAGGTCTTCGATAGCGTATAGGGGATGGGCAACGTGTTCATCTCTGGGGTGATAAATGGGTTCCTAGGCCACAATACTTTCAGTTAATATCTTCTCTAGTAGGTGAAGACCACCAAATGGTATGTTCTATTATTGATCCGGTTTGGCGTTGCTGGAATTTAGACCTTTGCAAAGAGTTGTTTCTTCCGATTGATATTGAGGCTATTCAACAAATTCCCTTATGCCCAGCTCTACCTCCTGACACATTAGTGTGGCATGACACTCAGAATGGTCTTTTTTCGGTAAAATCAGCCTATCATTTACAAGTTGCTCTCATTTGTTCAAATAATCATCCCGGCTCTTCGGATGGAGGACTTGAGCAACAACACCTTTGAAAGAAACTTTGGCATCTTCGAATTCCGAACAAAATTAAATTCTTTGCGTGGAAAGCTTCTTTGAATATCATCCCCACTTCCGATTTGTTGCGTCGTAGGCATGTCCCTGTGGCTGGAAATTGTGTACCCTGTCCCAACTGTCTAGAGAATTTGTTGCACTGTGTTCGTGATTGTCCTATTGCGAAACGAGTATGGAAATTAAGTCCGCTGCGATTTGAGGTTCAATCTTGGAATTGTACAGATTTTTCTCAATGGGTTTCGGTGATTGAAAATAGAGTTGATGAATATGGACTTGGCCTATTTTTTTCACTTTGTTGGGGTTTGTGGAGTGCTCGCAATCAAGCTGTTTTCAATGAAGTCTTTCGTTCAGCGGAGGATATAGTGCAATGGGTGTGTGAACTTTTACATGACTTCTTTCTTGCGAATCATCGACCCATCAGTGCACCAATCTTTGGGGAGCCTGTCCATTGGGTCGCTCCAATTGATGGGTTTGCCTCCGTTTGGGAAGTGGGTTGGCTTTTTGGCTTTTTGGCTATTTTAGCCTGGGCTATTTTAGCCTGGTTTGGGAAGGGCTTTTTGGCTTTTTGGCTTTTTGGCTTTTTTGGCTTTTTTTGTGAGAGAGGATTGTAATGATTATGGGTTGGATTTGATGTTTTGTTTTTTGTGGCTATTTTAGCCAAAAAAGCCTGGGCTTTTTCTTGCCAAACGGAGGCAAAGTTAATTTTGATGGTGCTGTGTTCAATCACCTCAAGGCAGTTGGAGTTGGTGTTATTATTCGGGACCACGCTGGTGCGGTTATTACGGCTTTGTCAGAGAGGGTTGATTGTTGGGGTGATGCAAATTGTGCTGAAGCTTTTGCAGCTCAACGAGCGGTGCATTTTACTATAGACCTGGGCATTCTTAATGTTCAGTTAGAAGGGGATTCGCTCAACATCATTCGAGCTCTTCAAGCTACAGACCCATTGTTATGCTCCTACGGTCACGTTCTTCAGGAAGCTATTGCAAGGGGCCGTTGTTTTCGAAATTGGAATATTTCTCATACTCCTCGGCTGGGTAATCAAGTTGCTCATGGCCTAGCTCAGATGGCAACTGCGAGTTCTGGACCATCCATCTGGATGGAAGAGGTCCCTCTCGAATTATTTTCTTTAGTTTTTTCTGAAGTTATGTAGTTCTCTTTGGGTTTTTCCCTCTAACAAAAACAAAAAAAAAAAGACAGCTCCAAAGCAATGTAAAAATAAAATAATTTTTTTTTTTTAAAAAAATACAAAGAAAGTCCATAAAAAAAATAAGGGTAAATTACACTGACACCCCTTGAGGTTTATTTTTAATACAAATCCTCCCTCATTTTTGAAAAATTACATTTTTCTCCCTGAAATTTGTAATCTCATTACAAATTGTCTCATGAATTACTGATGTCATGACTTAAAATTTTATAAATGATTATCTTGCCATTTTTCTTATCATTTCTTCTTCTTATCATCATGATTACATTGTACAACTTTTTATCATTAAATTCTACTTGAACATATTCTTATTGAGTGTTGACATACAAACATAAATTTTATATAGAATTTTCAAACATAATAATATAGTTTAATGGTGACATTTTACTTTAAAACAAAATACCTATAACATGATTTATATTTACATCAATATCACTATCACAATATTTTTATGATATTTTTTTATATATGAATATAATTTTTTTTTATATTTTTTATTTCCACCATTATATTTAGATTAGATCAATTTAATCTAGATATATTTAAAAAGTATAAAATTTGTACAAAATTTTTTTTTAAAAAAATTATTGAATACAACAAAATAAGATAATGTATTGAATTTTTATATTTTTGTATTTTTTTTTGTATTTGGTGAATTTAAAAAAAAATCACAAAATATTATACTTCTTAATTATATCTAGATTAGGTGTATCTAAAAAATTAAAAAAAAATTACTTAAAATATTAAAAAAAATCCAGTAAAAATAAAAAAATACAAAAAATAATTTTTTTTTGTGAGTTAAACCAAAAAATATGCTTGTTATTTCTTTTGAAATATCGTGAACAAAATTTTTGTATTGTTTTATTATTTTATATGTATAAAGGCAAATATATCATTTTAATCTGACATGGAGATAAGTGTAATTTTTTAAATTTGAGGGAATAATTTGTATTAAACATAAATCTCAAAGGGTGTTAGTGTAATTTACCTAAAAAGCAAAAAAATAAAAAAACAAAAAAATGTTATTATCTAGGAAAAACCTCACGAAAAAGCCTACATGATGCAGCAACCACTACACGAAAGTAAGGTTTTATAAACAAAAATTTAGGGATAAAATCACTATTTAAGGATAAAATATTTTTGTCACTAAAAGTGTCATTATTTTATTTTTAACAACAAAATTAGAAATTTAGTAATGAATTGCTAACCTTTTGGGATCAAAAGTTTTCTCAAAAAATAAATCTTTTTGGGACTCACTTATTTTGTTCCTAAAAGTGTATTTATTAACGACATTTTCAAAAATTTGTCCTTAAATTCTCATTTTTTGACTTTTTGAAACAACCTTTTAACAACTGTAAACTGAAATTAGTCCTTAAATATTTTTTGTAACAAAATTTATACTTTTAGTGCCAAAAAAACTTAATTTCTAAATCTCTTATTTGTTGTAATGAACAAATCTTTTTTTAACAATAATAAGGAGATTATGATAGTAATCTGATTAGCTTTTCTGGGAATCAAACTCACTTAATTTTCTATTAATTGATAATGATTTTAATTAATTATGTGGTGTTTTGGAAAGTTGGTAAAAAAATTAATTTTTTAGCTTTTTGATGGATTTTTTGGCCAAAAAAACTAACATTTTGGTGGCTTCTTTTTACGTAAAAAAATTAAGAAGTTAAAAAATTGACTTTTTTAACATGTTCCTAAATTGCAGCTATATATATGTATCCATAAGGTTCAATGGATTTGATTTTGAATGACCAAATTGTACTTGTTTTGTTTGAAATCAATGACCTTTTTTTAAAGGTTTTAATTTAGAAAAAAGCTCCAATATATACAGTTAGGAAGATTTTTAAGGGGTTGATTTTTCTCAAGTTTATATCTAAATATGAGAGAATTTGAGGGGATCACACAAGTCTTGTTTTGATAATCTGAACTGTTCATTTTATATTAATCTATGTGTATCATCTATATAAAAATATTAAATTAATTTGATAATTATCACATTTTGATTAAACTCGTTAAACTTTTCAAGTTAAATGTAAACAACAAATTAATCCATTTTACTCAACTAATTTATAGCTCTACATTTTAATTCCATGACTCTTCCTTTTTCAATGGTATTGGAGCCAAGTAAAAAAACCAACCTCAAATTAATCTAATTTTATTATTTTAACTCTTCATCATCACTAAAGTCTAGCCTTAATATTTTTTTAACCATAGTTAGAATTATTCAGTAAAATTGTCCACCACACAACAAAATATCAATTTTTTTTGTTTTTGTTTTTGTTTTGAAAGATGATAAAATTTCAAATTTGTACTCGTATAATGTTTTTATTTTGGCAAATGGTATTAGATTAATTAGAACTAGTAAAATAAAATAGAACTAGTACAAAATTTATCTAGCCCGGTGTTCCCTTTTGCAAGACAAAATAGGATTATTAATTTTAAGAGTAATGATTCATCCCCCTTTTCCCCCCACCCCCTTTGACCCCCTCTCTCTCTCATTGGTTACCTTTTCTTTTTCTTTTTCTTTTTTTTCCTGCTCCTCCAATCACCCCCTGCCACGTGACAAAGGGGGGTGAGGGGTGACCCCCAAAAGGGGGTCCCAATTGACAAGGTTAAGAGTTGTTTGAGTCGTTTGTATAGCCATTATGTCACACTTTATCCTTCAAATGAGAAACTTCCAAGTGTGAGTGAAGTTGTGAATATGGTGGAAGATGATGATGATGATGATCCCTATTATTTAGTTGACTCCCAATTTAATTCCTATTTGGAGGGGCGATGCACTAGTGGATCTAAGTCGGAATTGGAACAATATTTGTCCGAGGTTGAACATTTTGCAAAGAATCAAACATTTGAGATTTTGGATTATTGGAAGGTGAATGCAACCAAATATAGGGTGTTATCACAACTTGCAAGGGATGTGTTGGCCATGCCTATTTCTACTGTTGCATCGGAGTCGGCTTTTAGTACGGGAGGGCGTATTCTTGACCCATCTCGTAGTTCACTCTCATCTTCTATGGTTGAAGCTCTTGTATGTACTCAAAATTGGCTTCGAAGCAACCTTCCAATTTCTCTTCGAAAGGCGATGGATGATGTGGAGGAATTTGAGCAATATGACTCGGGTAAATGAGAATTTATTTATCTTCATTTTTATTTGTATTGTTCATTTTCTAATGTAAGTTTTATTAATCTTCTCTTGTTGATTCCTAATTAGGTACTTTGGAGTCGAGCTCATCTTCAACTTCAACCTATAATGTTGATGCTATTATTGATCTCTAATATCCATTTGATCATTGGTAATTTTTTCATATACTCAATACATTTTGTTACTATATTGAGATGAAATATATAGACATTTGTTTATCTTTTTATTTTTTACTCTAATTGAAGATTAAAGTTTATATTTTTTCAATTTGTTTTTGTGTAGGGTTCATCAACCAAATGCATGGAATTGGAATTGGAATTCGAATTTGTGAAAGTTGGATTGGATGCGAATGAAGTTTGACAACATGTGAATGAAGGATTGGAATTGAAATGTTTTTATTTTATTTCATGGGTTTGTATTGAATGAAGTTTAACAACAATTTTTTTTTTTTAATTGCATTTTGGTTTGGATGAATGTAAGTTAATGAATTTTTATTTTTTTTTGCATTTTGGATGAATGTAAGTTAATGAAGAATTATTTTTTATTTTTTATTTTTTTTTGTATTTGGGTTAGGAATGATGAATGTAGAATTTTCAATGTAGCAATTTTTTTTATTTGGGTTATGAATGATGAATGTAGGATGAATGTAAGTTAATGATGAATGTAGATTTTGAGTGATTTGTTTAGGTTTCGAATTTAATTTGTTGTGTTTTTTATTTTGTAAGTTTTTTATAAGTTTTAATTCATTAATTATTAATGTTGGAGCATTTTATAAAATATGAGGAAAAATTCCTAAAATAAAGATTGACAAAATGGGAGGAAAAAAAAGGGTTTAAAAATAGTTTTTGAAAAAAAATTCAATCCGCAAACCGCCCGCAACCGCCCGCACATCCGCCAACCCTATCCGCACAAACCGCAAACCGCATTGCGGGCGGTTGCGGGTTGACTTTTCCCCAAACCGCATAGATGCGGGCGGGTCCAAACCGAACCGCAAACCGTCCCAAACCGAACCGCGGACACCCCTAATAAAGTTGAAACTTGTGCAGTACTAAGACCAATTTTTTATTCAATTCTCTCTCTTTTATTTTAATTTTTTTCTTATTAGTGCATTTTTTATATTGAATTCTAAATGTCATTAAATATTAATCAAAGACATTTGATGAAATTGAAACTAACATATCAATATACAAAGAGTTATGTCTGTATCGATCATTGTGCATGCGTGCCGCCCTTTGAGACTTGGAGTGGGACAATCAATTTAGGAGCCTTTTAAAAGATAATTAAAAACTAATTTTTAAATTTTTTTGTACTATTTGATGTGAGAGATAATGTTATTCAAAATTAATTAAAAATTCACTTTCGATTTTTTTGACTTGTTGTCACAACACCTCTTAATCTTGAACCTTTTCTTTTTTTTTTGGGTGAATACTTAATCATATCAAATCTTGAAATAACTGCATTTTCAAATATTTTCATGCTCTAATTTGATTATCCCTCCGGATGGGGGAAGAAAAAAGAAAGAGAAAAAAGAAAGAATAATGTTAGATATCTTAAAAATTTTACTAAAAATTTTAATAAATATCTCACATGTCGTACACCCATTTAAGACATTTAGCCTCCGTTTGGGAAGTGGGTTGGCTTTTTAACTTTTTGGCTTTTTTGGCTATTTTAGCCTGGGCTTAAAAGCTTGGTTTGGGAAGAGCTTTTTGACTTTTTGGCTTTTTTGAATTTTTTTGTGAGAGAAGAATGTAATGATTATGGGTTGGATGTGATATTTTGTTTGTTATGACTAAAATAGCCTATTTTGTTTTTTGTGGCTAAAATAGCCAGAAAAGCCCAAACCATGACTTCCCAAACGAAGCCTTAGTATAATATTTAGTAGAAGTTTTTGGATCTCTAACATTTTTGAAAAGGAAAAGGAATTTGAAGGTATTCAAGTTGAATAAAAAAAAGGAAAATGTTATAGATTCCAAATGAATTACCAAATGTGAGAGATTTGGCAGAATATTTCATAATTCATTTAGGGTCCCTACTGTAACTCTATAAAAAAAATTTGACTTGAGTGAATAAATGAGAGTATTTTCCCAACATATTTATAAAATATGCACAAATGTAAGCCAACTCTACAATTTACATGATTAATCTCTTCTCTCTCTCTCTCTTTTTTTTTTTAATGGTTGAGAAAAAAATGTGAAACCACAAAGTTTTTAAATCCATGTCTGAGTTTAGTTGCTTTAGTTTGGTTTTGAGTTTTTAAAAATAATTTTTTTAGTTTTTTTTTTCAATGTGTGTTGTTATTTTTAGTGTTTTTTTTTAAGATTTTAGTCTTTTTTTAGATACACTTAATCCAAATGTACATAAAAAATAAAATATTTATAAAGAAATCTAAAAAGAATTCAATACATAAATAAGAATACGAAAATATATCAAATTTTTGTATTCTTTTGTATTTAGTGAATTATTTAAAGTTTTTTTCATAAATTTTATAATTTTTAAATGTATTTAAGTAGATCTAAAAACTATAAAAAATAAAAATAAAAAAAAACTTTGATTAAAATCGAAATAATTCACCAAAAACTAAAAAATACGAATTGAAAATCAAAAACAAATTTTGAAAACTTAAAACTTAACAGATAGACACTCCAATTAAAACTGGGCTAGTGATTTCAAAACTCAATTTTTTTTTTTTTGAACTATTGCAAATTAGTGGGATGGTGAAGGATTATTTACATTTTCATGGCGGTGCAATTTTACTGTGTGCATTGTGCAAATACTTCATGTGCTGATTAATTAGGGTTCTTAACTTCCTTGATTAAATATTTTGAATTATCTTTTCTGATTTTAATGTTCAAAATGTCATTATCTAGGAAAACCCTTAGGAAAAAGCACATATGATGTAGCAACAAAAATTTGTTTTAATAATAATGATGAAATTATGATAATACGATTAGCTACAACTGGCAATCAACTCACTTCCATGCATAAATTCAATTCAAGGTCTACATTTCTATTTTTTTTATAGGAAAAAAAAAGTATATTGGTTTAAAAGCAAATAAGTACAGAAAGATGACTTATTCACCTTAAAATCTCTCAGTGTAATTTAAATAAAAAAAATATTAGGAATCTTTACATATTTCTGTAAAGCGAATTTACTCTCAATAATTTGAGAAATTTCACTGTATCTCTTTAGTAATATTAATAAGAGCTCTCCCATATTAAATTGTCCATTTTTTGTTAGAATTAATATCATTTTAAAAGTTAGAATTGAAATAATTAAAAATTTAGGATTTAATTTGTTACTAAAATCAAACCTTAATTTTTTTTATTTATAAATTTTCTTAAAAATAATTGCCAAACACACTTAATTATCCCTCGGCCTTCTAGATTTTTAAGTTGATTCCTGATCGATGGCGGCATCGGCAGGGCAAAAGAATAGGTCAAACATGTGCAGCCAAACATGCCCAAGTAATCTTGAGCATAAAATCAAATTGATAAATTGTTTTTACTTAATTATTCCTATCAGCCCAGAAAAGCCTTCACCAGAGTCACTTAAGTTGTGTGTGGTAATGGATTTGGAGAGATATTTGAAAAGAAAAAATGAAAAAATAAGTGAAATATGATGAAATATAATTATATTTTACATACATTTCATATATTTTTTTTCTCTCTCTCTCTCTTTCTAAATCTCTCTCCAAATTCATAAACTAAACACAAATTATTATTTTTTCCTTTTTGCATCCTCAATTATTTTTATTTTATATTTATTATTTTCTTTCTTGGACATGACTGATGAATCGTGTAATGGGGTTTAGATGAGTCAAGAAGTCAATTATGGACTACCAAATGGTCGATCTTAAATTTTCCTGATGATTTAAAAAATAATAAGTAAATAAATAATTGTTGTTATCAACTAGTGGGGATAGCTGCTCTAGTATAGGTTACATGTATTATGTATAACACTTGCCTGTATTGATGGTCGATGAGTTGTTCACGCTGGCAGATTCAAAGATGTTCAAAAGAAGTCAATATAAAAATTTGAATAGAACAAAATGAGATGACGTATAGAGTTTGTTTAAAAATATTTTATTTTATTTATAAGTACTGAAAATTGTATGGTACTCAGCATAGGTCTGTTTACTATAAACACTCCCATGGGATTGTTTTTGACATGTCTTTTTGGAATAATTACAAACTAACAGTTTTAAATATTAGTCGATACGTATCGTATTATACATATTTAAATTTTAAATTTTTAGATATTTATTGATATATTAATTAATATTATATTTAGCATCATGAGATATATAATTATATTGAAAGTACCAATATATATCTCGATACCATTATCTAAAACCAATACAAGTTTTAATGAAGTGAAAGAAGAATTGTCATATGAAAAACCTTATGCAACCATGATAAAATGAGAGATGAGCACGAGAAAGGAACTGTAGCCCCTAAATCCAAGTTTCTCTTGCAATAAATTTGCTTAAAACAACATACTAATAAAAAAGATTCCACAATTCAACTTAGCATAGATGCCTGTTACATGGATATCAACACTAACATCAATTATTTACAAATGAGGCGTGAGTGTCAACAAACTCAAATCCATTACAATAAAAATAAAAAAATAAAAATTACACCTATTCTGACGTGAGTTTATGATGATTTTACAAATCGTGGAAACAAGTCGTCTTTTTTTTTCTTTCTTTCTTTCTTCTTTTTCTTTTTCTTTTTCTTTTTTAATGATAGAGAGCCTGTCCTGGGCAGAATCCTTTAGACCCAACCGAAAAAGGTAAACTTGAGGTTCAGACTTCAAAAGCCATCCTCTAAGCATATCAACTAAGCGAACGGGATGGGATTCGAACCCTCATTGTTGGTAACGTGGGGGAGCATTTACCTCGGATGATTCCTCAGGGAAAACAACAGAATCAACTTTTCAAAGTGAATGAGGTGCTTGCGGACGCAATAAATGTGCAGACTGTATAGTCCTGCAGCCAGGGTCACCAACACGAACGATAGCATTATCAACGTCCAGAAATCCTGGCACATGGGAATTACATAGTTGAGGGCGAGTTAAAATAAATTTCAAAGAATAATTGTCTCAAAGAAAGCTATCTTTCAAGTATGCCAATCCTTAGAGATCATGCAAATGTGAAATGCTGAATGAATGTTGGCTATGGAACCGTATAGTAGAGAAAATTCATCTGATTTACATCAATTTGGAACATTACAATGTGTGATTTACATAATATGCCTCACCAAAATACAAAGATCAATAATGCCAAGAATGATCACCTGGGGATCAGAGACGATTACGCCCATAACATATGTCATCAAGTCGAGAACAGACTGAAGTGAATTTTGTACACTCCCCACTACTATGCGATCCGATTCTGGAACTTGATCCTATCCAAGTAACATTTTTAGAACATAAACAGAAGAATTCATAACCGTTTGATACAATTATATAAAAAAAAGAGAAAAAAAAAACTTCTCACCGTTTGATACGATTACCTGCATTTGTTGGATGACAGATAAATCAAACATCCACAATCCAAGGCGCGATGCAGCCACTCCGCCCATCAGCACGTATGCCGATACAAGCTTGTTTTGTACCCATATCGAAGCTACGCATACTAAGAGGCAAATCCACTGCATCAAAATTTAGGGACACCAAAAATCAAAATTCAGCTCGATGATCATGCTTCTGATAGCAAATTGAATCGATTTCCCAAAGTGCTTTCATTGATTTCATTTTGTCTGTTTTTTTTTTTTTTACCTGAGACCAGATGGACCAGAGTCCTGTTCGAAGCGTTGAAATCCGAGACTGTAAGATAGGATAGAGAAATGTTGCAGCTATTCCTACCGTAGCGCTCACTCCTCGGGCGATGCCTATTCCTATTGTAGCACTTACTCCACGCGCAATTCCAATAACATATGCAGGTATACCCTCCCATTCTAATGTAGCAGTCATTAGAGTTCCAAAGCTGCAATTGGAAATCGAGTCGGATAGTGAGTCAGAGCCCCATGGCAATGAGAGAAATATTTCAGAGAGTACCAAATTATCCTAAGTTGTGCAGAAGTAACATTAAATCTAATTTTATTGCAACTATGAAATTGATACATGTGAGGAGACACAAGAGAACCAATTTGAAAGTGGTATAGTGGTATTCCTTCCAATTCTACATTTCAATCTTCTAATTTTGTTTTATATAGTAAGACCATGGATTTAAATAGTATCGGAAAATGTATCCTTATTAGTTGTAGTACATTAATATTAGAAGTATCGAGCAATACATATAGGAAATCAAGTGTCGCAGCAATAAAAAAGAGCTTTATAACAATCAAATTGGCCGTATCAATTATGGTTTTCATTCTAACTAGTATATGAGGCGTATCAATATTAGAATGACAAAAAAATTAATAATACTCTTAATCGGCCAATATTTAAAACCATGTAAGACCTAAACAGACCATTAAACAGATTACATATCAAAAATCAATGTTGTTAGAGGCTAACCTGAGCACGGTAAAATACAACAAAGCAAGAGCTACACCGGGAAGTACCACATCTTGCTGCAAGTACACTCTCCATGAAACAACATATTGAATCTTGGAAAACCGCTCGATTAGTTTCCCTATCCAGCTGTTTTTGGACAACTCCGAATCATTTTCATCATCAGAAAGCACCGTACTTTTCGCCCCAGAAGTAGAAGGGCTCTCTTCCGGAACTGGCGACGACCTCGAAACCCTCTTTAGGCTCCCTTCGCGTAAAGACGGAAACCCATTGTATACGGACATTAGCATCCAATATTGCAAGAAAACAGATACGGTGTTCCAAAGCGATAAAGCAAAAGCCGATGCTGTTAGAGATACGAAACTGATAATGAAGCCGGTCAACACGGGTGCGAAAAGCTTGCAGATTAAATCAATGCGTCTTATAACCGAATTCATGCTCGTCAGAATTTCCGCAGGGTGGCCTTCTGATATCACCACCACCCTGTAATTTGAACATAACTTCCCTTTACAGTCTAAGAAATACGGACACAGACATATGACACGACAATTTGGGACTAAAATGTAAGCAAAAGGTAGAATCATGGATTGTAATTACTGATTCGTGACAACAAAATTAACATATGCTATGGGAATACATGTGGGTACCATTCTCTCTCGATCAAGATGGTTCCGGCGAGAGTGGAAAGCACGCCGATAGCTCCAGAAATATTGGTTATTATGACAAGTGACACGAATGCTATGGAATTTGAAAATTGTAAGTCTGGGTGGACTAGCAATGCGACCACCGTGCCTCCGGCAATGAGAAAAGAGAGATTCTGTGTTAACAGCCAGAGTTGTAGAACCTGCCAATGTAGAACAATGCATCATAAGCATCACGGTAACATGGACATGTGACACGTCACTTCTAAAAAAAAAAAATGAAGGAAACAAAGCCAAAAAAAAGAAGAGGAAATGTTTTGGATCTAATTTGTAAGTTCTAATAACTCTAATGTGTATAGGATTCATTTGATATGATGTTTTGATTTTATGTTTTGTGTGTTTTTTTATTTTATTTTTATTTTTTTTATTTTCCACCTCACTAGAGTTCAATTAGAACTTTAGTTTTAAATGGATGTATCATTATTGAAAAAAAACAAAAGAAACAAAGCATAAGGGATATGCAAAATAAATGATTTTGATTTTTATATATTTATTAGGGTAAATTACACTTTACATTCCTATAGTTTCACCCATTTCTCACTTTGACCCTTTATGTTTACAATTCTTCCCACTTTCTCAATTTGTTGTGCATTATATTTTTTTTTTGAAAACCTCCTCTTTCTCTCTCTGAAAACCTCCTCCCCGGGCCTCATTTTGGGCCGGCCGGCCGCCGCCTTCGGCTATGGCGGTTGGCTGGCCCAGTCCTTGTGTTTGTTTGTTAGTTTCCCTTTAATAAACTTGATCCCCCCATTTTTTTCCCACCTTGGTTTGCTTTGTGGGCTGCGATTTTTTTTGGTGTTTCGGTGCCCGCCATAGATGTTTCGCTGCTGTAGTTGTATTTCTTCAGGGATTGCCTGGAACATGGGTCCTTATAGAGGAGGAGGTTGGTGTTGGATCGGCTGGAGGACATCCAAATTTGGTGAGGATCTTCAAATGTCAAATGAAGAGCATTTAAGTGCTATGCACACAATTGCGCATACTTATCATTAATTAGCATGTAGACATTTATACTTTAGCTGGTTTTGCTACATGCTGAACTTTTGCTGTGGTGTTTATCTGGGACATTGTCAGATTACTAGAGTACAGACTAATATTTTCGTTTTTCTTGCGCTACGTAGATGGAGCTTATTGCCAAAATGAGGAATCCGTTTATTGTGGAGTATAAAGATTCTTGGGTAGAGAAGGTCAGTAGATGTTATATCTCGTATTATTGATGTTGTTCAATTGACATTGGTATTTTCTTTCATCCTTTGTTTTCTGATGGTCTAATAGGCTACCTGAATGTCTATTCTATTTGTTTTTGTTCCTTCCTTCCTGTCATGCTGATATTGCTTTCATATGCTTCATTGTTTAACCCAGTTGATCATTGGTCTTAACATTATGAAACTTTACTCATTAAATGCCATCATTTATGGATACTTCTCTCTCTCTCTCTCTCTCTCTCTCTCTCTCTAGGCTGCAGCAGCAATAGAAGAGGCACCAGCAGCAGTCTCGGTAGAGGTTGAAGTCGAGAGCAAGGAATTTGTTGAGTTAAGGAGGAGAAACCAGCAGAAGAAGCAGTTCTAAAGGTGAAGCAAGAAGAGGCTGTCGATGTTGCTCGGCGTCGAAGGTATTGCGGACATGGGTGGTTCTCAACGGTAACGGAGCCTGAGTGTCCGGCGATTATGGAGGTTGAGTGTCTGACAATGATGCAGGGTGTTCGGGACAAGCGTGGTGTTTTCGAGACAAGTGTGGGGTTTATCAGTGTAACAGTGTTTTAGGTGTGGGGCTCAAGAGTTTGGTTTGTTTTTTTAATTGTCTTTTAAAATATAAAATCGTGAGGCTAAGAGGTTGGTTGTAAGAACGCGAGTAGCAGTAGTAGGAGAGAGAGTCTTTATTCTTCGAATCTCTCTCAATGCGTTTTATTTCCTTGTACCTTTAAATTTCATGTTTTTAATGAAATTTTTCTTTGCCGATCAAAAAAAAAAAAAAAAGTTTAATTTTTTCCACTTTGCCCCTTCGTGTTTGCAATCCATCCCACTTTGACCCTTCATATTTGCAATCATTCCTACTATATTCCTAGACTAACTTCCATAAAAAAAACTAACAGAATCTGCCACATCACTTACACATCAACTCCATGTGTGATGTAAAAAATTCACTAAAGATGCAAAAAAATAAAAAATAGAAAACAAAAAAATGAGAGTTTTTTTAGTCTTTAGTGAACTTTTTTTTTTCAAATTTATTCATAGACATTATTACATTATAGATGCATCTAGATTAGATGCAGATAAAAAAATAAAAATAAATTTAATTAAAAAAAAACGTTTACTAAAGACGAAAAAATGAAATATACTGACTCAAATACCTGTATTGTCAATTCTGAAATAAAAAATTTAATATCGTTTTTTTAGTCTTTGGTGAATTTTTTTTTTTTTAGTTAAATTTGATTTTATTTTTTTAGCTACATCTAATCTAGATGCATCTATAATGTAATAATATTTATGAATAAATTTTTTAAAAAAATTCACTAAAGACTAAAAAAAAAATTCAATTTTTTTGTTTTTTATTTTTTATTTTTTGCATCTTTAGTAAAAAAATTTACATCACATATGGAGTTGATGTGTTAGTGATATGACAAATTCTATCACTTTTTTTATAGAAGTTAGTCTAAGAATAAAGTGAGAATGATTGCAAACATGAAGGGTCAAAGTAGGAAAGATTACAAACATGAAGGGCTAAAGTAGAAAAGATTACAAACATGAAGGGCTAAAGTATGAAGGATTGCAAACATGAAGAGTCAAAGTAGGAAAAATTACAAACATGAAGGGCTAAAGTAGGAAAAATCAAACTTAAAGGGCCAAAGTGTAAAGGATTGCAAATATGAAAGACCAAAGTAGGAAGGATTGTAAACATAAAGGGCCAAAGTGAGAAAAACCAAACTTAAAGAGCCAAAGTGAGAAATGGGTGAAACTTTAAGGAGGCAAAGTGTAATTTACCCTATTTATTATGTGTCATATATATAAATATTTCATTTTAAATTTAATAAAAACATGCAACAAAACAGAATTTTTAAAATTTAACGCATGATGGATTAATAGGTATAAATCTACATTATTTTTCTTCAAATTGCCCTCTTAGGCTATGTTTAGTTCATAAATTTAGGAAGAGATTTGGAAAAGAAAAGAGAAAAAATAGGTGAAATGTGAATACAAAATATCTAGTTTCACACACTTTTTCTCTTTCTTTTTCTAAATCTCTTTCCAAATCTATAAACCAAACACACTTACGAGGCACCTATTGGTCAAAAAATGTAAAGAGACGAATATGATAAACAAAAAAATGTCAAATATTGATGGATAAAGAAACCACTAAAAAACTCATCACTGTCCAAGATTAACTACTAAACAAGTACTCCTATTCAGAAATTATATGAACACATTTCAATTTTGAGCCAATTGAATCTCATCAATTTAAAAATTTTGGGTTCTACAACAAAATTGATTCATTGTGACATTCACCCACATTGGTATAAATTTCTAAATTTTGTTGTAGTACAAAGGGTGAAAAATTATACAAGTCAAGGCAAACCTTCACGTATGATAAGCGATCGACCCATTGTCCAACAAGGGGACCGAACAATACAGTGGAGGCAGATTCCACCACGCCGTAGAGAGCAGCCAGGAGTAATGAGTTGGGACTAAGATTAATCATGTACAAACCAACAGAGAATTCCCACATCCTGCAATCAAGTAACCACGATGATGATCGATGAAAATAGAATGCATAAAAGGTCACTCCCTCTAGTTCTTGTTATCGTTGTCTATAGAGGTAACTTTGAGCATAATTTACGCAAAGTAACTGCCCTCAAACAAACCGCGCTCCATAATTGGAGCTAACTTTTTTACCATTACACCAAGTAAAATTCGTGCTCTTTAGACCTAGAACACAACAAGAGTACTAGGCAAAATCCTCTCCAAAGTTGAACTATCCCAACAATCAATTTACTCAATTTAGATTTTCGAACTTTTAAATGGTTGATGGTTATGTAAAAGGTTCCCAATTCACAATTTTTTATTTTTATTTTTTAAAGTAAGCGTTTTTTATCCAAAAAAATAATAATAAGAAGAAGGATAGAAAAATATGTACAACAAAACTCCAGTCAAAAAATGAAAACAAGCCTAAAAGCAATTCTCTTGCAAGCCCAAGAGGCCCTAATAAAATATGGATAGTTATGGACAGTCCTATGAATCGGATTTATTTATCATTAAGTTAATACATAAACAAGTATCAAAACGATAAATTTTTCAGGTACATTGATAAATTTATTAATCTAACAAATAAGGTTCATAACTATAGATAAAAAAATAAAATAAAAATTTGAGTAAATTATATTGATAAATAAATTTCTCATTCACAGGTCTTATATATTCATAAGTTTTTCATTCAAGACGAGTAAATAAATCCAGTAATACACTCCAAAAAAAAAAGAAAAAAAAAATCTCCACAAATCAAGCAACTAGAGAAAACAATATTTCATCACTTTGATCTTCTCTTTATCCCAAGGCATCCTAACTATTGGATCATGTGAAAATTTCGAAATCGATACCAAGGGTTGTATTGAATAAGATAGAAGACATGAGATTTGATTAAATAAGTCCAGTCACACACTTCAGAAAAAATAAAAAATAAATAAATAAATAGAATACCCTTTCCAAATCTAACAACTACAGATAACAATATTCCATCACTTTGATCTCGTCTTGCTCCAAGGCACCCCAACTATTCGATCATATAAAAATCTCGAGACGAATAATTGGGGTGTATTGAGTGGGATAGAGTACTAAAGATTTGGGAGTAGATGATCCCGTGTTTGTTACTTCATACTAAAATTATGTAGAAAAAAATTCATATTACGTAACACGAGGGATTAGCTTTAACATCACAACCACAAGTTCTACATATCAATTTTTATAATTTATATTTTGTTTACTATTACTGTGATGAGTTTGGTGGAGCACTTATTCGTGCACAAGTTGGGATAAAATTTCAATTTGAGAGCTGAAATAACTATGATAATAAATTCACTATTATTATTATTATTTTTTATTTTTTTTTTTATTTTTTATGAATCGGAAAAACAAAATGTTAAATTAAAATGAAAGAAAGAAATAGATCAAATTTAGTGCAACTGATTAATCACCCCAAAAGAAGAAGAAAAAGAGTTAATTTACAACCCTATGTTGATATAAACAAAATCAATCCAAAACCATTACAAAAACCCTAAAGAACGATTAAATCAAAGTAAAATAATATTAAAATATACAGATAAAATTCAAAACTTTTCATGATCATCATCAAAATACCACTCATAATAAGAAAAAAAATGAAACGTAGATCCACCCTAGTATAGGGATAATTCCCAAAAATAAACTGCGAAATATTAGACAAGGAAAGAAATAAATTAAAGAGGAACAAATTAAAAATACAAAACATGTAATACCATCTGAGCAATAATGCAATATATAATTTAAGAACTATGAAATACACACACAAACCCCAAAATCCTAAAGAGGGAATGTCGCAAAAGAAAGGAAACGAGGTCTGGTGAGAGAGAGAGAGAGAGAGAGAGAGAGACCTGGCACCCCATCTGGCCAAGAAGTGGCCAACATACAAATAGATGAGAAGAGAAGAAGAGAAAGGTGGTTGTTGAGAAAGAAGTGGCTCTTTGATCATCATCATTTGGTTCGCTTTTTCTTCTTCTTCTTCTTCCATTTCTCAGCTATGGCTTCAAACTGAGAACTTGCACTTCTTTGAGGTTTTGCTTTGTTCTTGTTCTTTTTTTTCTCTCAGATGTTTATAATGATTATTGTTAGTTATGTCATGATGTGCTAATAATGATGCTGACGATAATGATGATGGTTTTTCTCTGATGGATCTCTTCAAAACCAGCACACAGATAGCCGACGTGGTGCAAAAACCAGTTATGAATTACCCTCCTATCCAACCTAATTAAAATAATCCCAAATTATATTAATGGTTTGTGTATTTTGTTGCTTATGTCAATTTAATTTTTATATATTTTTTTGTATTAAGTTTGAGTTTTAGTTTTTTCCATTCGGTCCATTTGGGAGCTGGGGTTTTTTAGTAATTTTTTTATTTTTTTTATTTTTTTATGAGGTGAAGAAATTATTAAAACAATTTTTTAGTTGAATAAATAGTTAATTGGCCAAGCCCCTTGCGGCAAGTTAGCGTGGGTGCTGTGAAAAAATGCCGGGATTCGAACTAATGGAATAGCTACAGCCCTTTAAATGGTATATTAATTTCAAAAATGCGGCAGACTCCCAATAAAATCGACCCCCAGTGACCTCCAGTGCCACGTGGCACTGGGTGATTGGAAGGAAAGAAAAAAAAAAAAAAAAAAGAAGGAAATTGGCCAATGAAAATGAGCTAGGGTGCTGGGGGTGCCCCCAGCTGGGGGTCCCTAGCAGTTCTGTATTAATTTTATTGACAAACTAACAAATCTAACTACTTAGGATGTTGACAAAAAAAAAATAAATAAATAAATAGTTATTTGATTGATATATATAATTTGACATTTTAACTTGTTTTATAATTTTTTATGACTTTTGGGATTTTTTTTAGCCAAAAAGCTTAAAGCCAAACAAACAAATTGTGTTAATTGTAAATGTTGTCAATTTATTTGTCTAATTGACATCCATTAAAAAATTGAATAAAAATCAAGAACAAAATTATCTATTTAAAAGGGAATAAATTATTTTTTAAAATCAGATGTCAATCCGTCAATCACTGAATGAACTATTTTATCTTTTGATTTTAGTTTAATTTTTAAATAAAGTATATTAATTAGATTAGATTGACACAATATAAAAAATTTAAGAATAAAATTAAAAACTTAAAATTATAATGGCCAAATTGACAAAAATGGCAAACTATAGGACTATTGGTTTAATTTTGGAGAAATTATCAACCAATGGTAACATTAGAAAATTAATACAGATACATGAAAAATTGTATGAATTTAATTATTAAAGTGTATAAAGTTTACCATCTATTTGTAATTTTTTGAAAATGATTACACTGAATTAAAATTTCCCCTTTAATTTTTCCATAAAATAAACATTAACACATATTGTTGCTACCAATTGAAAATCTTTTTTTTAATCGGCATATAATTGAAAATTTCTAATATACACCGTTGAAAAAAATAATAATAACACTTTTCATTCTTATAATTTAATTTAAATTTCACTTTAATCTTTATAATTTTAAATTGAACAATTTGACTCCTACATTTTAAGTCTAATTTTAATTTAATCCATGAAGTAATGTAACAGTGACTATGTTAGCATCACTACTTGAACCCCCAAGTGATGCAAGGTGGGGACAAAATTAGAAGAAGACTATGAAGGATACTGTTTGTCTTAATATATTTTAAATATATATATATATATATATATTTTATTTTATACATAAAATAGCCACTTAATATAAAATATTTATATATATGTCACTATTCTCCTCCCTTGCATTTTCTTTATTTTGCACCAAAAAAGTTTATTCATCCAATCAGAAATAAATTCAATGGTTTTTTATCTTTTAAAATTTGTATATATATATATATATAACTTACATATTATATTATATATATATATATATATATGTGTGTGTGTGTGTTTATGTATCCGGTGAAAATTTGTATTCAAATATTAGTCTCTCCAGTAATAAAATTTGAATTCTTTTCTTGATACAAAGGATACGCTTGAATCCAATGAATACAGGTAAGGCTCTCATGATATGGTAGATTTGCAATAGACTTTTCACATGCAAGTATAGCTGACTTTGATTGAGTTACTCAATAAAGTTGTTTAGGATGATCTAAATAAGTGTATTTTTTGTTTTTTTATAAAAAGATGCGTAGAAAAATAGAGAGGTGATGTAATAAAAAAAAATAAAAAGATAAATTATTTTTGAGTTGCCAAATTTAACCTAAATTTTCCTCAATATATTACTACCCAGATTAGAACCCCAGTGAAAATAAATAAATAAATGATGGTTGACTTTAATGTGGGGTTTGTGGGTTCTTTATTTTCAAATAAAACATTATATTTGACATTCAGATTTTCTTTTTTGTTTGGTATCTAGGCAGATCTCTGTCTCCCCCCTTAAATAATTGAAATATAATATAGAGAAATTGTATAAAGCCAGACCTACACTACTTTTTTTAAGAATAAATAAATAGATAAGAAAAAAAAAATTATTGTTATACTTGATTGACATAGGATCTAGTTCTAGTTCATTGTTGTTAGGGATCCATAAAATGTATAATCACGATTCGTGAGATACGAGAATACAAAAATGAAAAGTTATGATTAATTATTGTGACTTTTATTATGATCTAAAAGGTTATAAAAGATAATTACATCTCTGTCACAAGCGTAAATATACTACAAATGCTCTTACTCCAAAATTGAGTGGTTAATGTATCATACCTATCAAGATTCACACTATGCACCTAACAATATTATATCCTTTTGATATAATTTCTTGTAAATTAAAAGTAGATTATCGAAAAACAAAATATAAAAATATTACGCTTCTAGTTTCTCAATAATCAATTCTTTTTAAACTTATCTAACTTATTTTTATTTTATAAATTATAAGCAAAAATTACTAAACATTTTGATTCAAATTGTCTCACATAAATTAACTTTAAGTGATTTCAATAAATTGTACCAAACAAGGTCATTATTAATCTCCATGAACTTGCCCTGACCTTCTTCAATTGGCCATGTTGAAACGTAGTTGTTTGTTCACCAACCCAATTAAAGCCTCTCTATATCCTTTGAAAAATAATTTCCATTAGACTAATGTTATATGCATAGATTAGTGTACTAATTAATGTACCAATTGCTGATGTAGTATAATTTAAAATGTTTTTAATATTTGTAATTTGTATAATGAGTGTGGACAATAATAATGTCATAACCAGTGTTGGTACACTAGTTAGTACACTAATTAGTGCATGTAGCATCACTCTTTTCATTAATAAATTATTGTTTTGAACATCGAAGTTTATTCTAAATTTTATGTCATTATCTAACTTATAATTTTTCTATTTAAATCCTTGGACTTTTATAATTAATCCAACTATGCTAATTTAGTTGGCCAATCATATACAAACTCCTATACGGAAAGTCAGGTGATTAATAATCACTGTCAAAGACAATTAATAATTTATGGTTTTTGTATTGAATTATTTATTTCCTATGGTGATTATTATGGTTTTTGTTATGTGTTTTTGGATTAAAATTGTCCATTTTGTTAATGATAATCATAATTATTATAATAATGTTATGAGTTGAAGGATGAACTTGAAAATTCAAGCAAAGTTCAATGATAAATGTTGATTTATTATAATAAATAAATAAAATAAAATAAACACACTTAGGTAACTTGGAGCACGTAGGTCATTGGATTCGTTTCCTAGCCTCACAGTTTAACTGAAAGTAAAAAAGAAAAAATAAATAAAAATGGACTAATTAATTACACAAGTGGTGTTTAAAGTATGTGGTTTGTTGTACTTGACTTTTTATTTTTAAACTTTGTTAAATTAGGTTACAAATTACAAAATGAAATTTTATGATTTCAAGCACTCACACTGTCTTAATTAATTTGGATATTTTTCAGATGCATACTTTGAGGATTATATGGGTACCCAATTAGGCTAGTTTAGAACTTGGGACCAGCTCCACTCAATTTTAAACTACAATTGTCAAGTTATAAAACAAAACATAATTAGTTAGTGTGTTTACTGATATCCGATCAAATTAAGATTTTGTGTATATGTTCTTCCCTTCAAATCCTAATAAATAAATAGGTCAGATCACCATCATAAGTTTTGTGGAGTCCATAGAGTAAAGTCTTGAGAACTGCTCTCAATTTTAATTGGCTATCCCTATGCATTTGTATTTGTGAAGTCTATATGTCCTTTTTTGAGGTTGTGCAAAAAAATAAATAAATAAATAAAATTCCAAACATACCAAAGCTCCAATTAATCAATTTGGATGGCATCTGAAGGAGGAAAATTAAAAAATTAAAAACTAAAGTATATAAAAAAATAAAAAAATAAAGAAAGGTATATATTTTAGTCCTAATTGGGATTAGTTGAGAGTAATTAACAACAGACAGAAGTACTTAAAACAAACAAACAACACCTAATACATATAAATCTATCCATTTAAAATGGTTGAAGTCAAAATCGGGTTCTGTGTATGATTCTCAACTTTCACAATTACTGCTACTTTGTTTTTTTTTAAATCATTTAGTGCTCTTCGATTATGTGAGCAAAGTCTCCTCCAATAGTCAATCAAACAAAACATTATTTTAATTTGAGTATCACTCAGATCTAGATCCTTATTCTATATTGAAAGGCTAATTACGAGGGTGGTTTGGGATGATCTAAATAAGTTTATTTTTTGACTTTTTATGAAATATGAGTTGAGTATGAGTTGGGTTTAAAGTGATATGTTACAGAGGTAATGTGACTTAAATAAGATAATATGACTAAAATAAAATAGTGACTTTTTAACTTTTTTAAATCATACCAAATAAGCTCTAAATAATGTCACATGTCATTCACATTTTTTAAAGATAATTCAATTTAGAAGTCTATTTCTAGACCTGTTGGGTTTAAAGTAAAATTTTTTAAAGCTAAAAAGACAATAACAATGTGAAAAATCATATTGTTCTTATATAATTTAATCATCATCTATCTATTTAAATATCACATATTTATTCATGTATCACTAGTTTGTTTACTTAATTTATCTATTTATCTAAAGCAGTAATGATTTAGACCATTAATTTTGATGCTCTAATGGAGCACTAATGACATGGCAATGAATAAAAAAAATAAAATAAAAACAAATCAAGACCAAAATATCACATCACTGTGGATGAAACACACTACCAACTCATTAGAGCTACCTTTAAAATTCAAAAATTAAAACTCGAAAGCATTTTTTTTATCTAAAGCATCATTATCGCTGCCAACTGCCGCTGACTTTTCCAACCACAATAGGTTACTTTTCCAGCAACAGTTAGACGATGGTGGCCATAAAGATGTTACAATGCAGGGGTGAAAGTTATGTTCCAAATAAATAAATAAATAAATAAAATAAAATCTATGGGTGAGAATGGGTAGAAAAATTATTCAAAACAATAAATGACATTTTAAAAAAATGTATTATCATATCCTCATCCAGGTGTGATTGCGAATTAGGTTGGGTCAGGTGATATCTTATACACTATTTGTCCTAAATTAGGTAGATTAAAAAAAATTAATTCGTATTTGTCTACCGATTTGGAGGATGAAGATTGAACGGGCCATACAGATTCACAAATGGATGCGATTGGTTTGGTGATTTGAACTTTATAAATTTTAGACATTTTTTTGAATTATAATTCATTACTTTTACAATCTCCAATAATTAATAATTTAAAAATATATATATATTATTTGTCTATAATAGACCATGACATCACGCATGTATATTTTTAAAGTATTATTTTCTATTTTTACGAAAAAATATATTTTATTATTTCTACTCTATTTTGTTACTTGTTAGCAATTTTTTTTTTTAAATTTCATCTACAGACAGATCAGATTCATGTAGACGCGAGATGGTTAATCCGTCATCTAAACTATATTAATAGATCATGAAAAATTTCATCCACATCCATTCGTCAAAAAACATGCATCCAACCAAAATCAATCAAATTGGATCAAATTGGTCAGGTTGAGCAGATTGAACAGATCCATAATCACTCCTACCCTTGCCAAACCTAATGCCATAGATTCTATTGGAACTTTTCACTAATTTTCCCCATTTTTTATGCTTAGTCAAAATATAAAAAATCAATGATAATAATTAATTTTTTTTTACTTATTTTCTTTATACTACTGACGATGAGTGTATTGATCAACGATTGAGTGATTAGGATCAAAATTGATATAATGGTCACGCCCTTCTTCATTTAATATTGCTAGATCAATCAGGCTTTTGCTTTGATATTCTATTTTAGTCAAGTGCTAGCGCCCTGTAGAGTAAGGGCGGGTTATCTATTAAGGCCAATATCAAGGTCCATAACGACAAGCCTACATTACAGTAATATCGCACGACTTTGATAAACTGAACTTGGAAGTACATAAGAGTTTAGGACTACTTTGTTCTCCAATAAAGCTTGAGAGCTCGAAAAGTTCAAGGCTCGATTGGCCCGAAATTAAAAACGACGCCGTTTTCAATTTTTTTTTTTCCTCTCCTTAAACAAGGAGAAGAGAAAAGAGAGAAGGGAGAAGAGGAAAGAGAGAAGGGAGAAGAAGCGATCAACCTCTAAGTGCGATTGTTGTTTTAATTCTAAATCTGAGCGTTGGGGAAGGAGATCAATAGATTAATCAAATCTCTATAGCGCTTTCTTGAAACCGTTGAAACAGGAAGAACGTAGGTAAGACTGCTATCGGCCTTCATCGTAGTCTTCGCCTGAAGAGAATCAGTGATCACAGAACTATACATTGGAAGCAGAGTTGATTTTTTTGGTGATTTGTGAGATTTTTTTGAGTTTTTTATTTAGATTTAGATTTAGATTTTCATGTGGGTTTGTTGCTGCGTTTGTTGATTTAGATTTTAATTTTGATTTTCATGTAGGTTTGTTGATTTGTCTGTTGTTGGGTTTGTTGATTTGTTTTTTTGAGTTTTTGTTTTTTATTTTGATTTTGATTCCTCTGTTTCTGGGTTTGTAGAGCACTGTTGCTGGTTTGTTGATTTTTTTTTTTTGAGTTTTTGTTTTCGATTTTGATTCATCTGTCTCAAAGAGTAGAGCCGAGCAGAGGGGGAAGGAAGAAGAGACGGGGAGGAGGAGAAGAAGAAAAGAAAAAAAATATCAAAACGATGTCATTTTGAAATTTGGGACAATCGAGCCACAGTAATTTCGGGTTACGTAGCGGGACTGTTTGTTCTCCCTCTTTGGACATGACATATCATGATCAGATCAAGAAACTACACTACATGAATACTGATCCCATGTGCAAGTAATGAATACCCACCAAAATTCTTTCCCATGAAAATGCAACTGTAAAAATTCTATGGCACTAGGCAATTGTACAATGATATTTCAGTGCATCATGTAGCAGGATTTAAACTTTTTTTTACAAAAAAAAAAAATTAAAAACACTTTACTAGAAAAGAAAGGAATCGATTATGTCACTGGAAAATTCATGGCAGCGAACAGGTACAATGCTGAGGACCCTGCAAAACATAAGAGGCGAGACAAAAGTAAATACAAGAAAAGTAAATTCATGCTTCCATTCAATTATACATATGAATATGAATATGAATATGAATATGAATATGAATATGAATATGAATATGAAACACTGTTAAAAGTAAATTCATTCGTGTAGTTTGAAAAGGAAAAAAAAAATAGTTCTATTTTTCTATTTAACCAGATTTTATCTTTCAATTTCTCTCGACATCAACCTAACAAGCGAAATCACAAGCAACTCAAAATCAGTAAGACGGAGTACTATGATTAAGCGTACAAGAATCAACCTATTGATTGGGATTAAAGAAAGATTGCAAAGATATCAAGCCTTAAACACTGAAACAATGATTATTAGTTAAAAGTAGAAACATGGTTGATTTTATGGACTTCATATACTCCATGGCCAAAGATTGACGAAGAGACAACCATTAATCAACTTTGTCCAAATGCCATCCTCTAAAGATATAAAAACATTTGAGTACAACCTCACTGAAGCATGAATCAAAACAATTAACTGGCCGTCACACCAACAAGTTTTACTGCTAACCAATCTTCATGACTTAGCTGACTTCTTATCGGAGTCCAGAGAATCCAGAACCGTATATCTTCATATCATTTTCTTCTTGAACCAAAAATCTCATTTTCTGAGTTCAATTTCCAAATTAGTTGAGTAATGGCAACCCAACTTTTGTACCATACCTCTTTTATTTGACCTCATAACAACATAAATGCAAGAAAGGGAGGAAATATAAGAGTGGAAACAAGCAGAACATGAAATGACAACACTAATCTCAGTAGCAACCTTCTTGAGCATCTCCAATCCTTCATCAAATTTTTTCAAAAAATTTGAGTAAGAATTTGGACCAAAAAACTGATTTGATATAACTCACTCCAATGGTGAGAATCAATTTTTTCATTAAATCTTTTAAAAAGAGAAAAAACTAGACCCACCATCCGTGCCTCCCCCTACAACCAAATCACCACCACTCTCTACTGCACAATGCTCCACCTCTCTTTGCCAAGTCAATCCATACCATTTCAAACACGATCTAGAACAGTCGAGCCACCATGGTTGGCCACATATGCCACATGTGACCACTACAAGCCACCACAGCTGACCACAAAGCACCACACCTATTTAAGATAGGGACATAAAAGGTATTTCAATTTTGTACAATGGGACCGTTGGAGATTTGATGAAGGGCTTTGGTATTGGCTCCATTTGATGAAAATTTTGAGCCTCCCTTGATTTGATATAGGTTTGGCGAAAGGGTTGGAGATGCAAAATGGTTACTTTTTCCTCAAATTTGAATTTAATGAAAAAAAAGGCGAAAGGTTGGAGATGCTCTTAAGTCCTATATATATATACCCTTGCTCTGTTAACAGAAACTGACTTACACCTAAAAGACGTAGTTTAGCAGATTTCTAGGTGTGTAGCGCTTTGTATCAAGGGGAAACACATGAGATTTCCCAATCCACGCCTTTTGGAGAAATTAGAAGTTATCAACGAATATAGTTCCTGATATTTCATTCTCTACTCTTCTTAGTAACAAATTTGTGTTTCAACCTTCCTCAAAATTTGCTTAAATCTGTAGTAACCAACCCAATGACATGAAATCATACAGCAAATTTAAAGGACAGAGGGGTGCGAAAAGATTTCATCTAGCAAATTCAGAGGATTTCAAGAATGAATGAAACGATTTCATCCAGCAAAATCAGGTAGTTTCTATTTTCCACTTTGTTATGTCACAATTCATTCAACCAATACACCTGATTACAAATCACTGAAAACAAGGAACTCTGAGTTATCTATTCAACACGAATAGAGAACTAATTTAACTTGTGACTAGTCCTGCACGCTACTGCCAAGGATCAAAGATGAAAATGTTTTTAGGTATTAGATGCAGTTTTGAGTTCACAATATTGTAAGCCTCCTTGCTCGCTTTACTTTCTAGTATTCTTACCTACCAGAAGATGAAGTAGGGAAAATCATTACTTAGATCTGCATATTTCAATTTGGTAAATTTTGTTTGATATTAAGAGCATGAATCCCAAATAGAATGAAATTGAACACATGCTAAAGAGCCCTGGATAGTTAAAAGGCAGCACATATATTAGTTTGATGGACAAGTGACATAAAATTGATGTGGCATTTTGGGTCTATCCCATACACGTACGTTATCCATGTATTTATGCTATTAATCGCACATAAGTTTCTGTTAATGCATTCACGGAGCAATGGCCACTCAAAACATATTGTTCTTGAGAGCAGGATTTGATATTTGAGTATGAAGAGAAAGATAGAGAGATATTTCAATGTTGTTCCCAATTTGATGACAAGAAAGCAAAGGAGAATTATTTGCACAGAAATACATCAAAACTTGGAATCATGATATCTTCTCCGTTGCTATAGCAAGACATGTAAGAGGCAATATATACATAACTCAAGAAACACAACAACACAACACAACAAGACAAGAAACACAAATGGGCAGAAGTCTTAAGCTCAGAGTCGCACAAATCTAAATTAAATGCAGTTGAATGATAAGAAAATTGCAAAATTACACTAAGAGCAAAAGAACACCAGAGAATTCAACTCACTTTCAAATTGTATTAGATGGAAATGCCAAGTTGGTCTAATCAGGAGTTTCCCTCTGGCTCATCTGAATCAGAATCACTTACATTGTAACCTACGATGGCCATACAGTCAACAAATGTAGCACAATTAATGACATTATGACCATGCACACAGGAATGGATGAGCACAAGCAAGCAGTCGCACAGAGAGAGAGAGAGAGAGAGAGAGAGAGAGAAATTACCTGGGCGTTTATTGCTTACTTTCCAAACTGAGGATCTAATTCTAGAAGCTCTTGTCATCCAAATTCTTCCCTGCAATCCCAGAACAGAAAATCAGTCAGTGTGTTTGGTTTGAGTTTTCTGAATTAAGTTTTTTGAAAATTGAGTTTTTTGATTTTCGTAAATATTTTTAAAATTTTAAACATTTTTTTTTACTTTTTTAGATAAACCTTACTTAGATGTATCTAAAAAGTAAAAAAAAAAATGTGAAAAAATATTTTTAAAAAATTAAGAAATACATAAAAATACAAAAAATGAACTGAATTTTTATATTTTTTTTATATTTTTGGTATTTAGTGAATTTTTAAAAGATTTTTTTTACAATTTTTTTACTTTTTAGGTGTATTTATGTTAGGTGTGCTTAAAAAGTAAAAAATTTGCATAAAATATTTAAAAAATTTAGTAAAAACAAAAAAACACGAAAAATAAGAAAGTAGAATTTTCTAAAAACTGTTCTTAGAAAATGGGAACCAAGCAAGCTTAGTATATCTTCCAGTAAACCAGCCTAAAAGGTATTACAGAATCAACAGTCCATTATTAAATTTAATAAGACCTTAGTACTCAAATCAACTAAAGCATGCCTTAATCCCAACTATTGTGTCAGCTAAATGGACCTATCATCAAGAAAAAAGAATACCCAACATGAAAAACAAACATAAAAGATAAAAATTATACAAGATTTTACCTAGAATTGAAATATGTGGGCAAGATACATTCTAGATATGGCCCAAAACACCAACAAAACTACATAACAATAAGATTTAACTGATGGATTACATTCATTGTAAGAGCATCTCCAATCCTTCATCTTTTCTTTCATCAAATATAAATTTGATGAAAAAGTACTCAAAAATCATCTCTAATCCTTTCATCAAATGTTCATCAAATGAAGGGAGAGTTATTTTTTTCATCAAATTCAGAACTCGTCAAATTTGAATTTGATGAAAATTTAAAAAAAGTCTTGGAGTTTTTTTTAATCAAATTTGACGAAAAATGAAATTTGGGATAAGAATGGAATTTTTAAAAAGATTTTGATAAAAAATTGATAAAGGATTGGAATAGTTCATATTAAAATTAAACGTATTACTCAAATTTGGAATCAAATTAGATGAAACCAAATTTTGGTGAAGGGCTTAGATGGTTTAATCATGACTAACTTTAAATCTACCCCGTATACCCCACTTTCAGGATAAACTTGGGTTAATTTCTCACGGTTCCTAGCATTTTTCCCCAAAACACACTAACTTTACATCTACACTCTCTACCCTTCACTTTCTTGTTAAATTCTCATGGTAACAAGAATTATTCAAGATTCAATTCATTTTCTTTTGCTCAGTTTCTTAACAACCAACCAGAATTCAAAAGTTCTTTAAAAAGCCCACACTAGAAAATCAAATCAAATCATCCAAAAGATACCTACTTTATGATACTACAGGAATTAAATTATATATATATATATATAGAGAGAGAGAGAGAGAAGAGAGATAAAATTGACCTTCTGGGCATCTTGAGGGACGCCATAGCCGTTGTAATACATCTGACCCACCAACACCTGCATAGACACATCGCCGGCCTTGGCATCCTTGAGGGTGTCTTGGAACCACCGCTTCGCACAATCGGAAACCACCCTTGACAGCGGCGTACGGTGGTTCTGCTCCTCAGCGCCGCCGCCCCTGGTGCTGCTGCTACTGCTCTTTTTGTTCTCCATCTTCTTCTCTGACTTGGGCCTCCTCAATTCGCAGCAGAATCTGGGTGTCTCCGGCGATACCAAGCGGTTCTGGGATATGGGTTTGGATCTTTTGGGAGTCTTGATAAGATGGTCTGTGAGTTTTTGTTGAAGCTTAGTTGTTGCTGCTCTGGGCAGTGATTTTCCCATCAACTGAACAAAGATTCATATATCTCTCTGTGTATATATACAGAAAGAGAGAGAGAGAGAGAGAGAGAGAGATGAGAGTATATCTGGGATTCCTTGGTGGGATTGGAAGAGAATTTGGTGGAATATTTTTGTGAATCAAATTTTGAGAATTTGATTTGATAGGGTTTTCACATGGAGAGAGAGAGAGAGAGAGAGGGAGGGGAATTTGCAAAGGCAGTTTCTGAGGATTATTCATCAGTAATGTTTTCAGGCTCACGACGTCGTTTTTGGCTATGTTGACTTCTTTGTACTACAGCCTGAAGTCAAACGTCCACGTTAGGGCTCACGTATTTGGTGGGCTGTATGCCAAATTACAATGGATCCCACACACCACAGCCCCCGGTAACGATTTTATTTGCGTTTTTAAAAAAATTAAAAAATAATAGCGCGTTTGGTTTAATTTTAAAATTATGATTTAAACATAAAATTTAATTTAAATATGAAATTCTGAATTAAATTTTAAAGATAAAAAATTTATTTAATTATGGATTATGAAAATAGTTTTAAGTTAGAGCATCTCCAACGGTAAATCTTTTTTTTCATCAAATCTGATGAAAAAAATGGTGATTTTCTTAATTTGGTATTACCTCCTCCAACGGTTGCATCAAAATAATACTGGCTAGGGACAACTGGTGGGACGATTGGCCGATCGACCGGTAAGGGGAAGAATTTTTTTTTTTTTAACCTGTTTGAACCTCTTGGACCCTGTTTGAACCTACTTATTTGAAAGGAGCCGGTCGACCGGTGGGTCAACCGGCCGGTGGCCCCACCTCCAACGTTTCTGCACAGTAAAATAGTGAAATCTTACGCGTATTCTCAATTTGATGAAATTTTTGCTTCATTCTCAGTTTGATATCAGTTTGGTGAAACTATTGGAGAGGAAAAATGTGGCTTTTTTCATCAAATTCAAATTTGATGCTGAGTCTGATGCAACGTTGGAGATGGTCTTATGAGTTCTATTTTGAGTTTTGAATTTTAAGTTGTATTTTAAAAAATTATAGATTTATTTTTTTAAAATACTTAAAAATGTTTAAGAAAATTTTATTTTTTTATTGTTATTTAAATATTTTTAATTTGAAATATTTTATTTTATTTTGTAAATATTTTATTTTTTAATATTTTAAACTCAAAACATAACTCAACACTTAAATCGTAACTAAATACACAATTCAAAATTTATAGCCAAATTCTTTTCAAAACTCTATTAAAAAAATCAAAAAATATTTCTAATTTTGTCCTTCAAAATTATTTTTTATTTTATATTTTTTGAAAAATATTTTTTTTTCAAAAAATATTTTGTTTATTTTTATTTTTGAAGATTTTTATTTTTTTATTTTTTCAAAAAATAATTTTATTTTTTAAGTATTGGCCAAATAATTTATTATGATTTAGAGAGAGAGAGTGAGAGATATATATATATATATGGTGATCCAAAAAAAATTATTTTAAAAAATTAAATATTTAAAAAAAATTAAAAAATCTAAAAAAATATATGTAAAATATTAAAAAATTAAAATATTTACAAATATATTTATCAAATAAAATAAAGTATTTAAAATAATAAAAAAAATACAGCACACAAATGTATGAAATACGGTGCACATTAAAATATAAAATATTCACCCTAAAAAAATAAAATGAAGAAAAAATTTTAATATTTCAAAAAAATAAATCTAAAAAATTTCAAAATATAACTTAAAACTCAAAATGCAATTCAAAACTCTTTTCAAAACTTATAACCAAAATTTTTTTTTTTTCAAATTACGACTCCACACTAAAATCATGATTCTAAAAAAAAATTAGATTTTTTTTTTCAAAATTAGAGTTTTAAAAAGTGTTTGGTTTTGAGTTTTGAGTTGTGTGTTTGGTTATGAATTTGAAAATAATTTTCGAATTAAATTTTGGGGAAAATTAGTCTAGGATCCCTCTCCCACTTTTCGTAATGGAAGAGATCCACAAAATTATTTTTTGATGTCTAAGGTCCCTAAACATATATCAGAGAAATTTGACTCTTTTGTCTCTCTCTCTCTCTCTCTCTCTCTCTTTTCTCCTTTCACCCACTAGTCTTTGAGATCCAAGGCATTCGGCGTCGCGTCCGCCTCTGGTTCGCGGCCTCCGACAATGAGGCGGAGTTTGTCAAATCGTCTCCTTCAGTTCTCGCAAGAGTTGAAAGCAGAGGCGGTTGCAAAAGCGAAGCATTTCTCTCAAGAGTTGAAGGCGGAGCTGAAGCGGTTCTCGTGATTCTGTGAAAGAAGCTTTGAGAGTGTAGCACCACCAAATCTGTTTTTTCTGTCAAGGTTCGGCATCGCTGGAACATGGACGGCGTTGGTGATGGAATGATCAAGTTAGGGACTCTCACCACCAGACCCGATCGCCGTTTCAATTTGGACCCGTCTGAAGTCTCTGTTTCGTCTCCTGTCACTCGTCAGAAAGCCGCCGCCGCTAAACAGTTCATCGAGAATCACTACAAGAACTACCTCTAAGGGTTACAGGATCGTAAAGAAAGGTCCAATTCACTTCTCTCTCTATATATACATATATATGTATGTTTGTTGTATTGTTGATATTTATGGAGATGTGTTTGAACCTTTTCAATCTCAATTTTTATCATTTCTGGTTGTAGGAATGAGAGATGATTCAAAGGAATTTGCGTTGGATTGTTCGATGCTCTGAGCAGACGACGAAGGTTGAATGTTGATAAGATCAGCAGAGATGAGCTTTACGAGTATTGGTCTCAAATCACTGATCAGAGCTTCGATTCTCGACTCCAGATCTTCTTCGACATATATGCATTATTATTTTTTCTTTTCAAAATAATTAATAGATTTATTCTCTGATTTAAATAAATTTCTCTGGGTTGTAAAGGAAAATTTCTCTAGTTTTGAGAAAATTTCTCTGGTTGAAGTGAGTCCAGAGAAATTCTTTCCTGGTCCAGAGAAATTTGTTTATGTTCTTGTTCAGTATGTTTTTTTTATGAATTCTGCATACTCTCAAGTTTATTATCAGTTTTTTTGGTATGTTTTCGATATGTTTCATCGCGATGTTGTTTGTCTGGGGTCATATTAGGGTTTTTGAATCTGTAATAGGCTTCATTGCATTTTTCCCCCTATGTATTTATCTTATTGATGTATACAAAGTTGCCCATGATGTTAAAGCAGAGAAATTTGCCTCCATCTCTGGCATCCCAATCACAGAAATTGGAATTTCTCTGGATTGAAGAAGAAGAATTTCTCTGGTTTGGGTTGAAGATGGAGAATTTCTCTGGTTTTCAGTGAATTTCTCTGAGTTAGAGAGGGAAATTTCTCTAGGTTAAAGTGAATTTCTCTGGAAAGTCCAGAGAAATGTGAGATTTTCTCTGAATAGAATTTCTCTAGGAAAAATTTCTCTGGGCTGAAATTTTTCTGGACTGGAATTTCTTTGGACTAGAATTTCTCTGGATCAATGTTGAGGGACCTTAGACATTATGAAAATATTAGATATCCTTTATACTATAAAGTCTTAATACCAGGGACCCTAAAAAAAAAATCCCTAAATTTTGAGTAGTTTTGAATTATGTGTTTGGTTATGAATTTTAAAAAAAGTTTTGAAATTTTTTGATTGGAATCACAATTTCAAAACTAAACCACATGCAGGCAAGGTTTTTTTTTTTTTTTTTTTTTCTATGGACTTGTAAGTTGCATCTCTATCACCACTGAGTAAGAAATCCATAAAAATTGTAAATTAATTCGGTCCAATCTAATTTGATAGATTTGGATTATATTTTTAAGTCTATGGTTTCGTTCTGAATTGAAAAATGAACAACCATGTTTTACAGATCAATTTCAGATTACACTTCATAATTCCAAATTAAAATCGATTCAAACAGTATACAATTTAAACTATATTCATAGCATACCTTCTTGATAGATACTATCATACCTCTTATATTCATATCATAGGAATTGTATGCAATTTGCTACTATGAAACTGTTATTGCAATGGAATTTTGTTGCTATTGTTGTGAATTGTATGCAATTTGCTACTATGAAACTGTTATTGCAATGGAATTTTGTTGCTATTGTTGTGGCTTTTTTTTTTAAGTTTTAATTTTGTAATTGTCTAATGGTGGGATCGGTTTTTAACTCTTTTTTTTTTTTTTTTTAATTTGGTGATTGCTTGCGGAATTAGATATTATGTTTGTTTAAATTAATAGTAGAATACTATGCATATTTATGTTTTAAAAAATTATGAAATAAAAATGTTATATAATTTTTCTTTGTTAATAAATCCGTAGTTCCAAACCGAATCGAACCATGTTTAAATGGTTTGGTCCGGATTGATTTCACGATTTAAATTGATTGGATTGGTTCTAATTTTTATAAAATTGTAGATAATGGATTGGTCTTAATTTCACCTCAGACCGAACCAATTCGAACCATATTCAACCCTATCTATCTCTTACTCAAAAAAAAGCAAATTATTACTTGTCGATATACTTTTTTGGGGGATAATTAAAAATAAATAAAAAGAGTTTGAGCCTTATAACGAAATAAATTTTGAATTTTGAATTTTGTCAATTTAAATCTTACTTTTTATTTATTTTTAATTTAAATCATTTATCTGTTTTCGTTAAGTAAAATTGACAGAAAAAGAGTATGTATGTATGTATAAAATGTCTAAAATATACTTTTTATTGAGTTTAATGACTAAAATATTATCCGGTCCAAAAATCCGAATTTCAATTTTATTTGTCCAAAGGTCCAGACGATTAAATACTTTGTTAAAAAAGACAAGCACAAACAATATGATCAACCTACCCTTATATATATATATATATATAATAAAGCAGGGCTGTTTTTTAAAATGTATCAAAATGTCTAAGAGATACATTTTGTTTGAACGACTGAAATGAATCCTAAATTTATATTAATGGTTCAGATCAATGATGGTTTCCACCCAAACATTTCTCTTCCTTAACCTTCTCACCTACCCACGTCTTCTCCCCACCTTCCCTCTTTATCTCTCTCTCCCTATTTGTTCTTCTTCTTGAACAGAACCACCAAAAAAACCTCTCTCTCTCTCTCTCTCTCCGAATTTCAATTTTATTTGTCCAAAGGTCTAGACGATTAAATACTTTGTTAAAAAAGACAAGCACAAACAATATGACCAACCTACCCTTATATATATATAATAAAGCAGG